CTTTCCCTCTATTTCAACACATTCCTTTACAAATTCTTAGATGCTCCAATATGGATTCATTTCTTCAATTGGATCAATTTGTGATTTCTTAGATTGCAGCTGACTCCTGTATAGGTGTAACAGAGACAATGACACCAGGAGACTCTCCCCACTCCATTCAGGTGCCAATGACATTTGTAGTCCTTCCTAGAATCTCTAGGGTTTAATCACCCAAAAGATTTGGGAAGCAGTGGAGCTACGGCCCTCTCACTTCTACTGGCTAACAGTGTTGGCTAGTGCAAAAGAAGAGGCACTTTACCACAGAGCTTTTGGAGGAGTTAGGCCAGTATCCCTGCACCCAGCACCCAAACTTCAGCTCAGAACTACATAGCTTGGCTCCTTAACAGCATTAGTTGGGATTGTCAAAGGAGATGAAATGAGCTAGTCACCCAATGGCGCTTTTTGGAAAAATTCAGTTCTTATCAGGTTTGTTTTAAGATTGACTCTTCAGGATCAATAATACATTGTTCAAAGGTACATTAGCATGAGGAAATCATTACATAAATGAACAAATACAATAATTTCTCCATTTGTTTATTTTCCTCAATGTTTAAAAAAATCATCTTTTACAGAACAGTGCTCTTTCTCATGGCAGATGTGCCTCTACATTAGCATCGTGCTTCCTGATAATAGTTTACATGTTGAGAAAGAGGTGAAGAAGCAAACTGTACATTGACACTGTCAGTGTTTTCTGTTCGGTTTTTTTTCCAATTTGACATTTATTCAAAAAATAGTATCTTAATTAGCAGCTTGACTGGTGACCCCACAAAATCCTAAATAATACTTTGAAAGAATTCACTTTTACAGACACTTACGGTAGATAAAACAGTATATACAATTTTGACACATAAATACATAAATACAGCCATTCATATATAATGATACACCTAAAGTTCAGTTGCTATCAACAAGCTTTTCTAATTAGTTATTTCCTTCATTTATAAATTGCCCTTGCCTACTGTGTTTTTAAAAAATCCCCATAAAGAACCAATATCTGCATTGAATCTAAATATTAGGAAACATGGAAAATGAATCTTGCATATTCCCTTGTCATCTGACAAGAAAAGCTACAGTGAAAAATTCCTCCAAAAGAGACATTTTTTCCCCATAGCACAGCTTCACAGGTGATCAAACATCTCTTGTCCGGTCAGTCAGCTCTGTGAAGCTGAAGCGCAGCTTAGAGGGAACACTGAAGTTGGTACCATGTGCTTTGTTCATCTACAATTTAATCAAAACCAAATATGACTTCATTCATATTTTGATTACAGTGATTTAAAAATCCAGCACTCTTACATTGTTGTTTGCCCGGTTCTTAATGAAACAAAATGACCTTTTTTGAAAATTGAAATTTTTGAAAAATTTGAAAATATCTGTTTTGATTAAAGGAGGCCCAATGCAAACATTGCTTGTTACTATTTAACCTTATTCGGTCCAACACAAATACTTCTAGGTTAGAGGGATAGAATATTGGTTTTCTGACCTCACATATCCCTGTGGTTTGCATATTCTGTTTTCTGAGCAATGAGAAAATACTAAATCCATATGATGGTTGTAAAAAGCTAGTGATGTCCAGTATCAGAAAATTAATAAAGATAGAAAATTAGTTTGTTTTATTTCACCTGCATAAAAAAATCTTGTACATTCAAAAATTAGGGCACACATGCTTAAGGCTCTTAAAGCACTGGACAAACATAATGCCAAACTCAGCTCCATGCATAACAGAATGCTACGTTGCAAGCAGACTCTACACATATATACAGCTGAATACAGAAGAAAATGCCTTCAAAATGTATGTACCAATTCCATGATTAATATTTACATTTCTGTCATAAGATTATTTATTTAGAAACACCAGGAAATAGTATTTTCAAGATGTATTTGCCAATATTTAATGCAAATTTTAGGCTGTGTTAGGCAGTTTGCTCATAAAAGAGTGAATTCAAGGCCCTGCAAGCTTAAGCCATGTGATGATGGGACTAGGAACTCTGTGACCATTTTGGGCTAAAGAGGGGTTGATTCTCTGTTGCCCCCAAAGAGGCTCAGCAGAGTACAAGTAATAGGAGATAGGGCCACAGGATTCATGAGTTTGTGGATCCAGTGCACGGAAGTACAGCAGAAGCTATTCTAGGTTATACTGGATCAGTTACAGTAAAGTGTCAATAGAGGGATTGCATTGCAATCTATGGTTTACCCATGAGCTGAGGATGAATTCCATCCCTCAATTGTGATTTAGTTACCTGTAAATTGTTAGGCTTGTGTGTGTGTGTGTGTGTGTGTGTGTGTGTGTTGTATTTCTTAGAGTTCTGAGTTTGAGCTGGTTTTTTAACAAGCACTAGGTCTGGTGGGAAGGATATATCTTGATTTGATTATAGAGAATTTCAATATTCATTGCCAACATTTCTGGATTTTCATTAAGAATATGCATGCTACCAGTGACTACTGGGCTAACTATTGTATAGCTTTACCTCTAACTGAAGTAAAGCTCCATACCTATTGTTTTTTTCACTGTGCTATGTAGTGTTGTAGTTTAAAGATCAAATGTTTCTCCCTTCATTTATACAAGTAGTTCCTTTGAAATCAGTAATACTACTCGTGTGAATAATGTTAGCTGAATTTGTCACTAAAATGTAAGTGCCTTGGTGGTTTAATTGTTTATCAAGTGCTATGTACACTTATAGCATTATATTAACAACAGATAATATTCAAGGCAAAATTACTTCAGAGATTTCACTTAAACAATGAATCAATAATTGCATATGGCTTCCCCATGGACATCCTGAATGACACATGGACTTACTACTTCCACAACACTGGATATCAGTGTTGGCTGAATAATGCAAAGCTATAACTTTTATGATAAATTTTGCCTCTTTCAGCTTGCAAATTGTGGACATGCAGCGATACTCTTGATTTTATAATTTTTGGATTGTATAGCGAATCCAGTTGGTTGAAATATTTCAGATGAAACCCTTCCTATAAAGATGGTCTGTTTTCAAAAGATGATTTTCTTTTAAAAAATGTCAGTTGTCTAATTTCTTTTTATGAAAATTGCTGTGCCACTTTAATTTTTTAAGAAAATTGTCAAATGTGGTGTCATTAAGATTATAGAAATGTTCATTTTCTTAAAATAGCTTTTCAGAACATGGAAATTTTAGATAACATTTTGAAAAATGAAGAATATTTTACGAAAAATAAGTAATAGTTTCATTTTGAACATACAAAAAAAACCAAAAACATTTTGAATTTTTTTGCAGAAATTATATATTTGTTAACCATCTCTAATTGTGAATATTACTTTTTGAAATTTGAGTTGTTCTTATTGGACATTCAAGTCACCTAGATATTGTCTGTTAATACAGGTTGAACCTCTCTAGTCTGGCACTCTCTGGTCTGACAACATCTGTGGTCCGGCATGATTTTAATTAGCCAAATATCCACTTATCATGGCTTTGACCAGGTTTCTCATGGTCCCATAAAGTTTGTTTACAGACACCAGTTCCGACTCTCAATGTTCTGTGCTGCTATTTAGCTTTGATTTACCCCTAAATGTCATCTAAAAGCCCAGTAAGCAGTGGAAGTGTTGATAATGCTGTCAGGAAATATTGACCTCCTGTGGTTCAGCAAATTTTTTGGTTTGGCACCGGTCAGATCCTGAGGGTGCTAGACTAGAGAGGTTCAACCTATATCAAATATTCATGTTTACAAGGTGAACAGTCAATTTACATGAATATGCCATATTATTTGCTTAAATCTGTTTGTTCCAATGAATATCCTGCAAGAACATTAAGAGAAAGCACTCTTCTGTGAAGGCAGTGAGAGCTCATTTTTTTAAATGGTTTAAACAGAAAATATTTTTCAGTAATCTCCCTCCACTAGTATACATAAAGTTTGGAGAGATATGCTTCTGGAGTGTATTGTCCTCTCATGCCCCAGATCTGAGAGAGAGGATTAGAGAAGAGTCAGCCTGAGGAAGCTGGTTGGACTATAGAAGAGGCTATGGAAAGAAAGGGAATCCTATTGGGGAAAGGAATTTGCACCTAAAGGAGAAAATGTAAGTAGTCACGTGTTATGTAGTCTGAAGATCAAATTCTGCCTTGAGATCTGTGTGCACAACTGCCAGGCCCTGATTCAGGAAAACACTTAAGAGTGTTCTTAATTTTTAAGAATGTTCTTGAGTCCTATTGACTTCAATCCCATACTTAAAGTTAAGTGTGTGCTTAAGGGCTGTCCTGAGCTGAGATGCTTTCCTGAATTGGGGCGGAATGACTTGAATTTGCTGTGAGGATCTATTTTCCCCTTGAGAGATCCACATAGCTGCTATTTTATACTTTCATTATGTTGCCCAAGAAAGAATTGACTGAGCATTTTTTGGTATGGTCTAAATTCTCCTCTGCTACACTGGCATAAATCTTGAGTAATTACACTTTTTGCAATACAAAAATTACACTGCAGCAAAAAAGAGAATTTAGCACGAAGAAAGCAAAATGCTTTAAGTACTATATGTTGTATTTTTAATTTTAATGATATATTGAGTAATGTGGAGACTGTAAACGGGGTTCTAGTTAGGATCACAATAGGAAAGGAATAATGTATTGATATTTTTCATTATTCTGTAAAATTATCTATTTGCTATGGCAGACACTATAATTTATCAAAATTTTATTGGGGATAATACTGTATCTAGTTCACTGATACTGTACAATAGTAAAGAGAGGTACACACTAAATAGTACTAATGAGATATGCTGCACTTTTTTAGAAAATAAAATGTTAAAGAATTTAATTATCTTTATCCTGAATACAGATTTGATTTGATTTTTAGGATTTTTTTGCACAATTTTTCTTTGTCTTGTGTTTCATGAACAAATTATAATTCATGGTAAGACTCCATTAGATATGGCTCTTTTAGTCTGTGTAATTTGTGTTTTAAATAAATGCCACCTTTTGGGGGCACATATTTTATCTGTAGGCAGGTATTGTTGTTTCAAAGTCCTACAGTATTTTGATTCAGTATTTTGCTTTTCAATGTTATATTCTCACTTATTTAAATTCTGCCTGTCTGCCAGCAATAAACTTTTTTTTAATTGCACATACTGTACAGTAAAATTTACATGCCAATATAGTATGTAATCAGTGCAAAGATAGAACTCAAGCTGTAAATACACACACTTGGTATATTTGTTATATTTGTGTGTATATTTATTAATAGAGCTCTAAAAAGACACATATAGTTTGTGAGGATGAAATAAAGGTTTTTAAATGATTTTTCATTTCTTGGGGCCGAACTCTCATCTCAGATCCATGGGCATGAATTTTTATGCTCTGGTTAGCTACTATTGTTTTTATACACACAGGCATGACAATTGATTTTTTTAAAACGTTGTGATAGGGAGCAAGGTCTCTGAGATTTGACTCTGGCATCTATAAGTTGTATAATGTCTTTATGAACAGAATCTGAAGTGTGCAAACCAGAAGTCAAGACAAGCATGAAAAATCAGTTTCTAAAACTCTCTTCAAAGTTAATTTGCCTATAAATCATCCGATTCCTTTCTGCCCAAATTAAAAAAAGTATTTACATCTGTAAAAATCTTAACATCTGAGATGCTTCTTGCTTGACATGTCATTCCAAATTCTGTGCATTTCTTCTGGCGTTATCTGATGCACTGTGATCACTCTGCGATACCTACACAAGCTGTAGGCCATCTTCCAGTGATTGAAGCCACTGTTTTGGAAAGGGTGAATGCCAAGCTTCCGAAGACAGAGTCCCACATACACATCCTCAAGATGAAGAAGTCTGGTATGGAGGGAGGTTTTGTAAATCAATTCTGCTACATCTGCTGAAAAAATGTAGCCAGTGCCTGAACAGAATGGTGGATAATTGCTATCAGGGTACAAATCTCTGGGCATGTACCATTTGCTCCGGACATCCCTTATTGGTCCTCCATTGATGACGTAACCAGTAAAGTACCTTCTCCTTGGCTTGGTGTTGGGTTTGAGCAGTTTATAAATAAGGTTATCCATATTAACGAAAATATCACTGTCTGTCTTCATAACATACTTTGCTTTTGAACAAAATGTGGCCACCCACCTCATACCCATTAACGTTTTAAGAGTAAGGTTATGATAAGAATCAATGAAGTCCTCCACAATAATGTCATGAAAAATTTGACTTTCTTGCTCCACCATCTGATTTAATACAGGATCTGCATTCTTCCCAAGAAGGAAGAGAGTAGCAATTTTAATACCTTTAAAGTTGTTTTCATCTCCCCAAGTCTCTCGAATTGCTTGTCTTGCATCAAATTCTTTGTGAGTTGTGCTGATCAGAATAACTAGAAAAGGGATGCTCTTCTCACACTTATTAGGCTCATTTATAAGAAAATCAAATGAATGTGGATTTATAGGTCGAGTTCTTATATTGCCAAAGGAGACATTTTTCCTGGCTATCGATATGGTATTGAAGTGTCTGTGGCCAGAGTAGGAAGAAGTAGGACGGGTTATACTTAAATACCAAAGAGCACTTGCCCAACAAACTACTGTCAGAACATATAAACACGAGACCTTTGAAGCCATTGTTTCTGTAGCTCCTCTATTCAGTATACTGAATAAATAGCCTTCTTACCATTAGCATCTCTGTATTCCACAAAGGCAGCATATTATTAACAAACCTTAAAGTTCGATAAAGAAAAATAATTGTGTAATTGTTCATGGATCTCAGAGGGAGGATATTAATCCTGAAGATACTTTGTTTTTTCCTTCTTTGTATAGTAGCAGCTTCTATTTCTTGAAATTTTCATTTATCTCTGAAAAATATGAGAAAGAGATTTCCATTGCTATATCATACATTCTTGAGGACACTTATTATAAGATTTATCATTCTCCTGAATTGTATGTCATGAAGTCCTTTGATACAAAAAACTGTACTGGAATAAGCCCCTACTGGAAGAATATATTTGTGATATGTACAGGCTAATAATTCATGTTATATCCAATTGAAAAGACTATTACTGTATTTTGCCTCAACAATAACATTTAAAAGAGATAACTGGGAATTCATCTCCTTTTGGACTGCCACAATTTAGCATATTTTAAGATAACTTCTGCAGTGTTTTACAATAAAATATAAGATAAAATATAAATTAAGTAAATGAAATATTTAAATATAAATCCCAAATTAATATTTGCTTACACCTTCCTTAATAGATACATGAGTCTGTAGGACAGAATTAGTGGAGTATGTGTATGGATAGCTGCAAACCTAGTTTTAATACAAATTGTACTAATATGTGTAATGGTAATAATAAAATTAAATTAAGCAGGTTTGGACCGAGATTTCTGTTCCTAAGTACAATAACCATTCTAGGTGAGAATAGGCCTTCATAAAACAACCCATGTATACGTACACATTGTCTTATACGTGTAAAGATCTGAATATAAATATAGTTGAGACAGTAGTAGGAAGTTATGATTATAGTTTATTTCTAAACATACATTGCAGTAGATTTCTGCAGCATTACCCTAGCTAACACTGTTTCACCTACAGTAAATATTGCCCCACTGTATGCTAATGGTGACTATATTTAAAAAAAAAATGAAACACTGAGAAAGCTGTTTGGAATGTAGCAAAATCCTTAAGCAGGAGTACATTTTTTAAAACAGTGTTGGTGTTCCTACTCTGTTACTGACACAACAGACATGTGCATTTTTTTTGCAACATAGGCTATTCTAGGAGGAGGAGGAGGTGTGGGGCTCTGGCTCCAGAATGGCCCAACTCCGCATAAGGCATTGCAGCTGGGGGCGGGGTGAAGGGGACGGACACCCTTAAGTCCTTTCAACTGCACATAGTTTCTACCTGCATCAGGATTCACCCCAACACCACTTCCCGATTCAGCCCTGTGCTGGCACTGGGACTTGCGACTGAGGCCCCTCCCCACTGCCTGCTTCAGCCCCATAAGGGAGGGGCAGCAGAGTCATGGCACCAGGTTTCAGCAGTGGGACACCAGAGTATTCCTAAAATGACTTGGGACCCCCTTAGGAGAGCACAGACACCCCACCAATTAGGACCACTGCCCTAGGGCAGATTGATATAGCAAAAATAAAGCAGAAACATGTCATTTTAACCCTATCTACACATTCCCAGGAAATTTCCTTTAATTAGGAAGTGGAAACACAGGGCCACTTATTCCGGAAAATCAGCCGCTTTTCCGGAATAAGCTCTGAGCTGTCTACACTGGCCGCTTGAATTTCCGGAAAAGCTACGACGTTCTACTGTACAAAATCAGCCGCTATTCCGGAAAAACTATGCTGCTCCCGCTTGGGCATAAGTCCTTATTCCGGAAAAGCTTTTCTGGAAAAGGGCCAGTGTAGACAGCTTTTCCAGAAAAGCAGAAGAAATGGAAAAAAGTGGTTTGGACGCCGCGAGACCCCGTAGGAGCCTGGACTTCCTGCTAACCCGAACTCTTAAAGAGCTCGGAGGCTGCTGGGCGCCCGTGGCAGGAGCCTGCCAGAGACCCTGCTGCTTTAGCTCTGCCACGTGCCGCTGTGCTGCCCAACAGCCACCTCTCAGCCCAGCATGGCAGCTCCGGGTGGTGAGCCACCTGCACCCGCAGGGGAGGAAGCCCCCCGGGGCCGTAAAACCCGGG